CTCTCTCTCTCTCTCTCTCTCTCTCTCTCTCTCTCTCTCTCTCTCTCATTGCTATGTAGTCTGAGATCTTCCAATCTTTTGATCAATGTACTATTTTCCAGAATTGCTGGCATAGATTAGTTATAACCTTTATTGGTTCTTCTTGCTGCCATTTTTCTGAAGATATCCCATCAATCCCTGTACCTTCCAATTGGAGTGCTGATCTAGCCATCTTCTGGCACTAGAAGTTCTTGTAAGTAAGGAATATCTTCTAGATCTAGAGTATTATGGAAGGAAAGATTCAGGGTTGCTGATCTGAGTTATCTCCTTATGAACTGTCTTGCTTCCTTATGGATGTTCCCTAACACCTTAAGGAAACAAAGAACCACACTTGCTTGCAGATCAATAAAAGAGAAATACTGAAGGCATTTCAAATGCTGGGAATATGGATATTTACGGAAAAGAGAAAGAAGACTGCACTGGAGACTGGAGAGAAAACCAGTCATGCATGAAGGAAATGAGACCAAAACACTTGGAGAAAGGAACAAGCTTCTCTGAAATTCTTCATTAACTATCCATCTATTATCTTTGCTTACTTGACAATTTCCATTACTTCTGACATCCAATCTTGTATTTCTTGATCCTTGGCAGTCTCTTTTCACATTCATACTTAACAACTTCTTTAGTTTATCCAGTTTTTCTAGTTCTCTATCAACAAGGTTCAGGATTCTGATGTGCTCCTTCAAAATTATGAGTTTATGTTCAAGATCATAACATGGAAAGTGGTTGGCTTTGTTCTTCCACTTTACCTTGAACTGGAATTTTCCCATAAGCAGTTTATGATCTGCTCCAAAGTCAGCCATGTACTTGCTGAAATAAGTGAGCTTTTTCACTTCCTTGTGCCAGTAATATAGTCAAATTGATTTCTGGATACTCCATTTAAAGATGTATACATTGTTTTGTTTTTGAAAGACTGTGTTAACAATGAAGAAAGCACTGATGTATAAAAATTGATCAGTCATTCTCTGGTTTCATTTTGGTTTCCTAGTGCATATTTTTCTCATTAATATTTCCAGTGTTGGCATTCCTGTCTCCAGCCACAAGTAACACATTCAGATTTTGTACATAAAACTCCTCTTTTTCTATAGAATTGGCTGGAGCATAATTTTGGACAATTGTCACATTTAAGAGTTGTCCGTGAACTCTGTCATTGATTGCACTGTAGTCAAATATTCTTGTCATATCCTCCCTAATTATGAAAGTAATGCAATTCCTTCTTGGTTTTTAATGTCCAGAATAATCAATAGTGTAATACTTCTGACTTAAAATATCCAATTACAATGTATAAAAATGCACTGATACCTGAGATATCAATGTGTATTGATTCATTTAAATTTTCACTGTGTTGAGTGAAATTATCTTTTTGCATTTTCTGAGCATCCAAGTAAAGCTAACTGTGTGTAATCCTTAGCAACAGGGCCAACTTCACATGCATAGCTAAAAGTATAAATATAGTGACTGCTCCATGAAGGAGCTGCTTTTCTGTTTTAAAGAGAAGTTAGTTTTGGCATTTTTGATATGATCAAAGGTTCACAAAGGTACGCAATCTTAGGTCTTTCATCCAGAAACAATAAGATTAGCCACCTTCATACAGAATCAACATTATTCTGATTAAGGGAGACCATCATGGCGAAGAGAAATGGTTTGTCCAGTAGCATTTCCATCCCATGTTCTACATATGACTGAAAATACAGAGGTGGGGGAGGGAGAGAGAGAGCAGGAGAGAGTGGGAAAGAGGGAGGAAGGGAGAGAGTGGGAGAGAGAGAGAGAGAGACAGAGACAGAGACAGAGACAGAGGGGGAGAGTGAGGGAGGGAGACGGAGTGAGAGAGGGAGAGAGGAGAGAGGGAGGGAGGAGAGAAAGGGAGAGAGGGAGAGAGAGAGGAGAGGGAGAGAGAGAGGAGAGGGAGAGAGAGGAGAGAGAGAGGGAGGGAGAGAGGAGAGAGTGTGTGTGTGCTATCTGGGAAAAGCATGTTACATCGAAGCTTAAACCCTTTCAGTGCCCCTGACAAAAAGACCAAGATGGCAGGTGCTAACGAAGAAATAATGAAGTTATTTTCATTCTCAGACTATATACCAAAACTATCCATTTTCCAGCTGGCAGCTCTTGGGCACTAAGCATATTAAATCACCCCAGTAAATTCTGTCAAAAGCAGCTGAATATGAACATTAACTGATAAGGCCAATTTGGCAGTCAGTCCTATGATTAGTTGGGTAGTGGCAGCACACAAAAAGACCAATAGGAGGAATAATTTCAGCAGAAACTAAGTGATATTTACTAAGCATAAATTTGTTTGGAAATTTGCTTAGAACAAATTGCCCCCAGATTGCACCCACCAATAATATTACATTGCAAAAATTTCATATTGCGTAGGGCTGTCTACCAGTGGTGGGATTCAAAAATTTTTACTACTAGTTCTGTAGGCATGGCTTGATGGGTGTGGCAGGGGAAGGTTACTGCAAAATCCCCATTCCCTCCCCACCCCACTAACCTGCTTTCCAGCTCCGTTGTCCTGTGCAGGGCAACAAAAGAAGACCCAGCCGATCAGCTGGGACTCGGGAGGCAGAGAATAGATGGGGGCG